TCAGCCCTTGCAGTCTATTATGCCTTTACAATCTTATTTGGTCACAAGGAGTTCTTCCACACGTGTGGAAATCCGCCATTGTTCTCCCTTTCTGCAAAACCCGGCACTACGGGACATGAGCCCCCCACTATCCTCCCCTTGCTCTTACAGTGCAGTTTGCAAAGTGATGGAAGCCTAGTAAAAAGATGTTTAGTGTGGTTTTTAGAGACACACAACAGTCTCTCCACTCGTCAATATGGCTTTCATAAGGGCGTTTACCATAGACCCTTACTACGCTTGGTTACGTATGTTCGTAATGCCTTTGTGAATAACCACTCAGTTATTTTCCATATTTTTTGACCTTGGAAGGCTATGACAAAATTGGAGGTAAATATTTTGGCCCAAGCCCACTCCGTGGGGCCTCTGAGGGAATCTTCCATCCTTCCTTAAAAACTTTTTTAATGACAGGCATTTCCGTGTTTGGGTTTAAAAATGTGCTCTCCCTGGACTTTATCCAAGCTGAAGGTGTCCCCCAGGGATGTGTTCTGAGCACAACACTTTTTCTCCTTGCTATTAATGATTTGGCCTCTAGTTTTTCCATCAAATATTTGGTCATCACTCTTGTCAATGACTTCGCTATTGCCTGTGCAGGCGCTGACTGTCACCTCATTTTCAGTTTCTCTCCAGCATGCAGTCGACCGTTGTTTCCAATTGGGCCACCACACATGGGTTTAATTTTCCAGCACTAAAACCCACCAAATTACTTTCACTAGACACTCTGTCATCTCCGATCATCCTTTGTACCTCTATGGCACCCGTATCCCTGAACGTGATACAGTCAAGTTTCTGGGCCTCCTCTTTGACCGTAGGTTATCCTGGAAACCTCACATTACCTCTCTGAAGGCAACTTGTCACAGCCGGCTGAACCTTCTTAAAACCCTTGCTCATCTTTCATGGGGAGCTGATCGTCGAACCCTCCTTCGCCTACATTCCACCCTCATTTTATCGAAACTTGATTATGGTTACCAGATCTATTCAGCGGCATCTCCTGCTACTCTCTCTAGCCTTAACCCCATTCATCACCAAGAATTACGTTTATGCCTTGGTGCTTTTCGCTCTTTCCCTGTCGAGAGCCTCTATGCAGAAGCGAACGTTCCATCCTTATCCGATCGCCGTGATGCCCATTGCCTTCGCTACTATGTACGCTCTCATGATCTCCGCAATCCTTCCATTTATAGAATGGTCACTGATATTAGTAGACATTCTTTATTTGTTCGCTGCCCCTGTTTACTCCGTCCCTTCTCTCTTCGCCTTCATTCGCTCGTCTTCTCTTCAATTACCACCTTTCTATGTTCATGTAGCATCTCACTTTTCCCTACCCCCCTGGGAAGTTCCAGCTGTTCGAGTCTGTTCTTTCTCTCTCCCTTGCTCGAAAGACCAACTGTCTACTGTTGCTTCCCGCTCTCTTTTTCTTGACCACTTTCACTGTCATTCTCATGCCATTGCTGTGTACACAGATGGCTCTAAGTCTTCTGACGGCGTAGGATTCGCAGCAGTGTTTCCAGACAGCGTCGTACGAGGGCATTTACTATCTTCGGCTAGTATTTTTACTGCTGAATTGTATGCCATCCTTGCAGCACTTATCCGTATTGCATCTATGCCTGTGTCATCATTTGTGGTTGTCTCAGACTCCCTTAGTGCTTTTACAGGCTATTACAGAAATTTGATACACCTCACCCCTTAGTCCTCCGTATCCAACTTTGGCTACGCCGCATCTTTACCAAGCATAAAGATATTGTTTTTTGTTGGGTCCCTGGTCATGTTGATGTACAGGGCAATGAACAGGCAGACACTGCTGTGCGGTCAGCAGTACATGACCTACCAGTTTCATATAGAGGTATTTCATTTACGGACTATTTTGCTGCAATAGCTTCCCACCTTCACACCCGTTGGCAACAATGTTGGTCTACTATGCTCAGCAACAAACTTCAATCTATTAAACCGAGTATAGGTTACTGGCCGTCTTCTTATCACCAGTGTCGAGGTTGGGAGACTACTCTCTCCCATCTTCGCATTGGCCATACTCGTCTTACTCATGGATATCTCATGGAGAGGCGCCCTGCTCCTCTCTGTGAGAATTGCCAAGCTCCATTATCAGTCAGCCACATTCCGTTGGACTGCCCACTTTATCAACGAGCACGCAGAATTTACCTCCGTTGTCGTCTTCGCTCCGCTGCTCTCTCTTTACCTTCCCTTCTCGCCGATGGACCCACCTTTCATCCGGACTCTCTCATTGACTTTTTGACAACAACTGACTTACTTCACAAATTCTGATACCTTCAGCCCTTTCTACCTCAATCTCTTGCTACCCTCTACCCCCATACTATCCCATGCCCCGCTGTTTTCTGTACCTACTGATCATCCCTCCTCCCTTCTGCCGCCCAATACCCTCACTTCCTTCCCTACCCTGCAGCGCTGTATAGCCCTTGTGGCTTAGCGCTTCTTTTTGATTATAATAATAATTGTCTAGCCTATAGGCACAATCTACTTCCACTAATGAGTTTTTTTCCAGTTTTCCACTGCTCCACTTCATTTGTAAGCAGTATATAAGCCCCATCTTCGTAAGTATGCTGTACTTTTATCAAGACTGATGGACTGGACACATCAACTCCAGGCTGAGGGACCGATTACCTCAAACTCCTCCTTATTTTCACCTTTCTCTGTATTGGACTGAAGAAACAAGCTGGTAAAATGTTTCCAGAATAAAGATATTCAAATGCTGCACAAGTGTCTAACTCATCAGATTAATGGGTACTTAACTCATCAGATTAATGCGTACTTAACTCATCAGATTAATGGGTGCTTATTTCCCTCTTATGTCATATTCCTTCTCATGAGGCACTTAAGTCTTATGGTTGTTATTACACAGCTACACACTATCTTGTATTATAAACTACATTACTGAATCTGCCCTTAATATCACTGTCTTGTAGTGCACTATTCTATTATTATTGTATATTTGTACAGTAATCTGCAATTTTTTTTTTTTTTTTCAACAAGTCGGCCGTCTCCCACCGAGGCAGGGTGACCCAAATAAACAGTATAAATAAACAGTATAAATTTGACTTTTACATCACTTACTGTGGCATGCAATGAGTATGTTACATTTTATTTGAGGTTTGTCACACAACAATTTGCTTGCCCTCTCGACCAGTGAGCTGGCAATTCAAAGTGTAGCATTTCTGGAGCACCAATACTGCAATTATTGTCCAGTTCAATCTGCCAGTCATGTGGAAGCTGGCTACTTCAGCCCAGGTGACATCACACCCACCCACCTGGCTGGGTGGCAGACTTCTGCAGAAACTGGTCATGTCCACTCATGCCTTGAGTGACTCTTGGTTGCACTATTACTCTGACATCTCAATAAATTAACAGAGTACATAGTGTAAATAAGTGATGATGGAATACATGGGTGTTTGCCTTGTCCTTGATCATCCCTACTGATTGCCTTGTTTTTCTGACTTAGTTTTACAACAAGGTGCTACAGGCCTTTAAAGTACCACCTGAGTTTGTAATATAGGAGGGCCTAGCACATAAAGCACCTTCTTTTTGGGGTTCCATGTTTTCACTGGCTTTAAATTATGCCACTGTTCATAATATTCCACCCACCAGTGATAGTAACCAGCAGATGGAACAAAGCCAATGAAAATGTGGAACACCGAAAATAAGTGCTGTATGTGCGGAGCCTTCCTGTACTTACTTCTATATTTAGGTGCCATACAATCTCAAAAAAATGTGCAGCTCAATAGAAACTGTAATACTGTACCTCAATGGCTATCAAACAAACATTGATTTGTATTGCTTTGTGTTTTATTATCAAAGTACTAATAAGCTGTTAATATATAAATTACATTTGGAAAAATAATTAAGTTCATCTATGACTAGCAGCTGTTTCTGTTGTCAGTTTATATTATTCTGTGTTGAGATTATAAAGACTGGCTTGAACTAGGCTCACACATGGTCCAATGAAAAAAGAAAACAAAAAAGAAACTAAAAACAACAATTTAATTGCACATCTGGACTACAGCAGTGCAGGAAATTAATTGTGACAGTTTTAAAGTCTAATGTAAAGTGGAAGTGGAAAAGAAGCCTTAATCCATAAGCCGTGTGCGTCGTAAGAGGCAACTAAAATGTCCAGAGAAGGTGCTAGTAACCCCTTCTCCTTTGTAAATTACTAAATATAGAAATAAAAACTTTCGTTTTTCTTTTTATATCGCCCTGCCTCGGTGGGAGACGACCGATGTTAAAAAAAAAATTGAAGTGCAGTAAATAAATACAAATACTAAACCCACACAAGTTATTCTGTGCAAGAAATGATGGAGGCTCGATCCTGTCTGCTATCTATGACAGACACTATCAAGAGGTGGAAGCACGAAAATTTAGAGAAGTATGAACCAAAGATTAACGAAAAATAAGCAGATCCTTTTGAAAATGTCAATAACCAGATTGTTTCAGATATATTTGACAGCAAATATAAAGCAAATAAATGTTAACCAAAACTGTTGCCTTATCACGAATGACCAGCTCTGCATACACCTCACCTTATAGCACAGCCTCTCCTCACTTAACGACATAGTTCTATTCCAAAGATCACATCGGTAAACGAATTTGTCGCTAAGCAAGGAACATATTATAATGATTATAATGGTAGTGGGTTTGTGTCAGCCATCTATAATATTATTTTAATGTCGCATTTACACCATCTATAACATTTTTGGTATACAGTGGACCCCCGCATAACGATCACCTCCGAATGCGACCAATTATGTAAGTGTATTTATGTAAGTGCGTTTGTACGTGTATGTTTGGGGGTCTGAAATGGACTAATCTACTTCACAATATTCCTTATGGGAACAAATTCGGTCAGTACTGGCACCTGAACATACTTCTGGAGTGAAAAAATATCATTAACCGGGGGTCCACTGTATTTTTATACAGTAGTGTGCTGTATATTGTAATAAACAAAATAGAGGAAATCAGCTCTAATATACATTATTTAGGTATGTATACTGGTCAGAGAGCCCGTCGTAAGTCCGAGTCATTGGTAAACGAGTACGTCACAAAGTGAGGAGAGGCTGTACAGGGTGTTTCAAAGAGATGGACCTAATTTGAAATTCAACTGTCCTTGAAACTGGGTCCATCTCTTTGAACCACCCTGTATTATACATGCCTCCAGTGTAAAAGGTCATTATACAAAGATCAAGAAAGGATAATTCACTGTATGCCAGTGGCAATGGAGGTGTTTCTGTATTCATGATGACTGGCCCAACTGTGTGCATCATTCAGTTAACTCTCCAGTCTAGACATATCATCTGCTTTATTATAGTCACAAAAAATGCCTAACCCATATGGGTTATCCAGCCCTTTTGGTTTTACTCTCCAAACTATTTAAAACAAGATTTTCTAAAATTGACAAAACACATCTATAACCAGAATAGTAAATAAGAAAATATTGTGCCACTTTTTTAATTTTCTCTTAAACTGTAATTATTCTACACAAAATGAACTGACAATACCAACTAACCAATAATCTCTGATTCACCTGTCACTAAGTACAGGAGAGCCCTGCATATACAGTGCCTATGTTCGGTATTCCATGTTGTCATTGGCTTTCAACTGAGTCGTTCCACATGCCAGTTGCTATCAACAGTGGGTGGAACGTAATGAACAATGGCTCGGTTTGAAACCAACAAAAACAGAATACCAAAAAGGAGTTGTATATGCTGGGGCCTCCCAGGAGGACCCCATTCATACGGAGTTAAATATGGCGCCAGTTGTCCTTCCCTTACACAACTGTTACATGAAAATGGCATTAACAACGGTGCAGCAGTAAAAGCACTGAACATAATCAACAATGGCTCAATTGAAAGCCAACAAAAATGTGGAATACCAAAAATGGCTACTGTATATGCGGGGTCCTCCTGCACCACCATACAAGACATTTTTGTGCAAGGATTTAGATTAAATACTATTTCCTATGTTATTCAATTTAAACTTTAAACCCAATGTTTGCTATATGATATAGTAACTACAAACTAGAGAATTTGCTACTTCAGACTATATAATTAAATATCACCACATACTACTGTATTCACAATAAGCTAAACCTGAACAAAAACACGTGTGGTAGTCATAATCATTTTGGTTAGTACGAAGTTAATAAATATCTCTTGAAAAAACGAAGGCAAATAGACGTACAACAGTCGATCTACTATAAGGTTTAATAAAAAGATATGCATCATTAATCACAAATATCCTTACTTTATACACTCGTAATCAAAGTATCAAAATATTAATATAATAGATTCGAAGTAGGACAAAGCACCTTTATAATGTTTTTTTCAGTAATAGGCCTGAGACTCCTCACCCTCATCATTATCCTTAGAAATAATGTCATGGTCAACTAAATTATTTTCTTCGGACCCCAAGTCAAGACTTTTTCTCTTGTCTACCTCGCTGGCCTTGTCTTCGAGGAATCTGCTGTCCATTTGCTCAAAGTTTGCCTCTTCATGCTGAGGACCTTCCTGGTGTTCCATCTCCTGCTTCTCAGATCCCTCTTTCTTCTTGCGGATCTTCTCGGCAAGAAACTTAAAGCGTAACATGCAGTCTTCCTGTAAGATAATGAGAATCATTCTCCACATGAAGTCATTAATGAGCCTGTGCATAATTTGCAAATACAATAAGTCCTTAACTTACAAACATGTTGAGAATGTATTGTGTATACCATTATTATGTATAATATCATTTTTATATACAGTGATACCCCAAATTTCGGCCATAATTAGTTCCTGAAGGCTGTTCGAGTGCCGTTACCAAACGAATTTCTTCCCATAAGGAATAATGTAAATTAGATTAGTCCATTTCAGACCCCCAAAAATACACTTACAAAAGCACTTACAAAAGTATACTTACACAAGTGCTCAAGTTGGGAGCTGTTCAAAATTCGTATTATTATACACAATTCAGAAAATCCCTAATATATCCGTAAGTTTAAGACTTCCTATATTATGAATATTATAAACAATTCAGGAGGTCCCCAGTGTGTTTGTAAGTCAAGGACTTACTGTACTGAATTATTTTTTTTTCCTCTTCAAAAGCTGTTTCCCACCAAAGTAGAGTTACCCTCTTCCCCCCCCTCTCCCCCCCCAAAAAAAAAGTATACACATGAACCATCATTCATTCAATTGCTGTCTTGCCAGAAGTGTTCTGACATCACAATTCACATTACCCTCCAACTGAAACATCGCATCTCCCTCTACGCCACACTGCAGGGAGTGACCTTCCTACTTGCCGGACTGAAATCTGGCTAACTGGTTTCCCTGAATCCCTTCATAAATGTTACCTTGCTCACATTCCAACAAAAATTCTTGTCTTCATTCACTTTTATCTAATACACTCTTACAAGCCTGCTGTATGCTCAAGAACCTAAAGCTCAACATCTTTCAAATTCAAATTCAAATTTTTATTTCTTGGCATAGTTTACAATGAGAAGGCTGGAGGCAGTGGAGACGTCGTGTCTGAGGGCAATGTGTGGTGTGAATATAATGCAGAGAATTCGTAGCTTGGAAATTAGGAAGAAGTGCGGGATTACCAAAACTATTCCCCTCAAGGAAGGTTCCTTGATGTTGGTGAGGGGCTCTTGATTTAGGGAATTGGATCTGTGCTCCAGTTCCCCGAATTAAGCCTGAATGCCTTCCACATCCCCCCCCCCCAGGCGCTGTATAATCCTCCGGGTTTAGCGCTTCCCCCTTGATTATAATAATAATAATACCAAAACTATTATCCAGAGGGCTGAGGAGGGATTGTTGAGGTGGTTTGGACATGCAGAGAGGATGGCACGAAATAGAATGACTTCAAGAGTGTATTAATCTGTAGTGGAGGGAAGGTGAGGTAGGGGTTGGCCTAGGAAAGGTTGGAGGGAGGGGGCCAAAGAGGTTTTGTGTGTGAGGGGCTTGGACTTCCAGCAAGCATACGTAAGCATGTTAGATACGAGTAAATGGAGGCAAATGGTTTTTAGGACTTAACATGCTGCTGGAGTGTTCGCAAGGTAACACTTATGAAGGGATTCAGGGAAACCGGCAGGCCAGACTTGAGTCCTGGGGATGGGAAATACAGTGTCTGCACTCTCAAGGAGAGGTGTTAATGTTGCAGTTTTATAACTGTAGTGTAAGCACACCTCTGGCAAGACAGTGATGGAGTGAACGATGATGAAAGTTTTTCTTTTCCAGGCCACCCTGCCCTGGTGGGAACCGGCCAACGTGTGAGTAAAAAAAAAAAAGTTTACAATATGTGATTTACATGTTATAAAATATTGTTAAGCACAGACAGTCACTAGCATGCACTCTTTATCTTTTCATTTTGTTTTTTTAGCCACAATGGCCATCTCCCACCAAGGTAGTGTGACCTGAAAAAGAGTAAACACTTTCACCATCATTCATTCAACCTGTCTTGCCAGAAGCATATTGGCACCACAGCTCCAATGACCCTCTGAATTGCAACATCCTCAACTTTTCTGTATCCTGCAGATCATACAATGCTTCATGCCAGAGGTTGCTAAAGAATAAAATTAGAGACAGCAAAAGAAAGTCAGTTGCATTTAACAAAGCTAAGACAGTCTGATTTGAAGGTCAGGCATTCTAAGTGGGCAGACAGCTAGAGTGACATCATCAGGGAATTCATAAGGATGTCAGAAAAGAAGCTTACAAACACTATGATAAATGGGTCAATTGACTGATGGAAGAAACTGTATAAAATTAATTTTTCAACCTATTTTTTTTTTTAACAAGTCGGCCGTCTCCCACTGAAGCACGGTGATCCAAAAAGAAAGAAAATCCCCAAAAAGAAAATAATTTCATCATTATTCAACACTTTCACCTCACTCACACATAATCACTGTTTTTGCAGAGGTGCTCAGAATACAACAGTTTAGAAGCATATACGTATAAAGATACCTATGTGGTTATTAATAATTTATTACTGTATGCTCCACTATTAAATATTATTACATATTGCTGATATTGCTTATAGAGGGGCAACTGATATATCGGATCATTATTTAGTTGTAGCTACAGTTAGAGTAAGAGGTAGATGGGAAAAGAGGAAGGTGGCAACAACAAGTAAGAGGGAGGTGAAAGTGTATAAACTAAGGGAGGAGGAAGTTCGGGTGAGATATAAGCGACTATTGGCAGAAAGGTGGGCTAGTGCAAAGATGAGTAGTGGGGGGGTTGAAGAGGGTTGGAATAGTTTTAAAAATGCAGTATTAGAATGTGGGGCAGAAGTTTGTGGTTATAGGAGGGTGGGGGCAGGAGGAAAGAGGAGTGATTGGTGGAATAATGAGGTAAAGGGTATGATAAAAGAGAAAAAGGTAGCTTATGAGAGGTTTTTTACAAAGCAGAAGTGTTATAAGAAGAGCAGAGTATATGGAGAGTAAAAGAAAGGTGAAGAGAGTGGTGAGAGAGTGCAAAAGGAGAGCAGATGATAGAGTGGGAGAGGCACTGTCAAGAAATTTTAATGAAAATAAGAAAAAATTTGGAGTGAGTTAAACAAGTTAAGAAAGCCTAGGGAAAGTATGAATTTGTCAGTTAAAAACAGAGTAGGGGAGTTAGTAGATGGGGAGATGGAGGTATTAGGTAGATGGCGAGAATATTTCGAGGAACTTTTAAATGTTGAGGAAGAAAGGGAGGCGGTAATTTCATGCACTGGACAGGGAGGTATACCATCTTTTAGGAGTGAAGAAGAGCAGAATGTAAGTGTGGGGGAGGTATGTGAGGCATTACATAGAATGAAAGGGGGTAAAGCAGCTGGAACTGATGGGATCATGACAGAAATGTTAAAAGCAGGGGGGTATATAGTGTTGGAGTGGTTGGTACTATTGTTTAATAAATGTATGAAAGAGGGGAAGGTACCTAGGGATTGGCAGAGAGCATGTATAGTCCCTTTATATAAAGGGAAAGGGGACAAAAGAGACTGTAAAAATTATAGAGGAATAAGTTTACTGAGTATACCAGGAAAAGTGTACGGTAGGGTTATAATTGAAAGAATTAGAGATAAGACAGAATGTAGGATTGCGGATGAGCAAGGAGGTTTCAGAGTGGGTAGGGGATGTGTAGATCAAGTGTTTACATTGAAGCATATATGTGAACAGTATTTAGATAAAGGTAGGGAAGTTTTTATTGCATTTATGGATTTAGAAAAGGCATATGATAGAGTGGATAGAGGAGCAATGTGGCAGATGTTGCAAGTATATGGAATAGGTGGTAAGTTACTAAATGCTGTAAAGAGTTTTTATGAGGATAGTGAGGCTCAGGTTAGGGTGTGTAGAAGAGAGGGAGACTACTTCCCAGTAAAAGTAGGTCTTAGACAAGGATGTGTAATGTCACCATGGTTGTTTAATATACAGTGGACCCCTGCATACCGTTGGCATCACATAACGTTAAATCCGCATACCGATACATTTTATCGCTAAGATTTTTGCCTCGCATACCGCTAAAAAACCCGCTCAACACTATTCGTCCGAGACGCGTCTAATGTGCGGCTTGAGCCACCCTCACATGTTCTGCCGGTGGCATTGTTTACCAGCCAGCCTCCGCGGTAACATCCAAGCATACAATCGGAACATTTCATATTATTACAGTGTTTTTGGTGATTTTATCTGCAAAATAAGTGACCATGGGCCCCAAGAAAGCCTCTAGTGCCAACCCTGTGGTAAAAAGGCTGAGAAATATTATCGAAATACTGTGGTACCATGGTCAACTGCTGCTGCTGCTGTACCACCATCAGCTGCTGCTGTAGTACCATCTGCTGCTGCTGTAGCACTGTCTGCTGCTGCTGTAGCACTGTCAGCTGCTGCTGTAGCACTGTCAGCTGCTGCTGCTGCTGTAGCACTGTCAGCTGCTGCTGCTGCTGCTGCTGTAGCACTGTCAGCTGCTGCTGCTGCTGTAGCACCATCAGCTGCTGCTGCTGCTGTACCACCGTCAGCTGCTGCTGCTGCTGCTGTAGTACTGTCTGCTGCTGCTGTAGCACCGTCTGCTGCTGCTGTAGCACTGTCAGCTGCTGCTGTAGCTCTGTCAGCTGCTGCTGCTGCTGCTGTAGCACTGTCAGCTGCTGCTGCTGCTGCTGTAGCACTGTCAGCTGCTGCTGCTGCTGTAGCACCATCAGCTGCTGCTGCTGCTGTACCACCGTCAGCTGCTGCTGCTGCTGTAGTACCATCTGCTGCTGCTGTAGCACCGTCTGCTGCTGCTGTAGCACTGTCAGCTGCTGCTGTAGCACTGTCAGCTGCTGCTGCTGTAGCATTGTCAACTGCTGCTGCTGTAGCACCATTGTTGGTGTGGCTTATTGAGAATACCAAGAAACAATTAACCCCAGAGGGTTAGCCACCCAGGATAACCCAAAAAAGTCAGTGTCATCAAAGACTGTCTAACTTATTTACATAGGGGTCCTTAATCTTGCCTCCCAGGATGCAACCCACACCAGTCGACTGACACCCAAGCGAACAGGGAAAAATGCCTGGAACTAGTGCTCATATTGGTGAATTTAAAGCCAGCAAAGGTTAGTTTGAGAGATTTAAGAATCGTAGTGACATACACAGTGTGATAAGGCCTGTTCTGGAAGA